TGCCACGTGCCCAGAAGGTAACAAGTTTGATGGACATCGAACCTGTCCATGCCACAGTACTATTATTGTCTTAAATTATTTCTGTTATTCAGACCTAGTAGCTTCCTAAACATATTTTTACTCCCATGTTCTTTCTCAACTCTTCTATCCCCAGGGTCAGTGGAGTGATTTTCAAACCTATTTTCTCAAATCCTAATTCTCTATCCCATCAACAAAGAAAAACACTCCCCAAGCAGTTCTTCATGAGCCCTAGGATCCAGCCCAGTGCCCTTGGCCTAGCATTTCCAGAGTTCAAAATGTTGAGCAAGTAATGGGATGAGTGTGGAAATGAACCTTGAAGGTCATCCCTATTTCAGGACCTTGAAGAGGAAGAGGGGAGGCTCTGCCTGGCACAGCTGAAAGAGGAGGCATTGATGCTGTGGCTTGGAAGAAAGCAAACCCAAAATCTGAGATCTGGGAGAGTGAGAAGGGCGTGGCACCAAGGAAGTCCAGGGAAGAGGGCGATTGAGGAAGAAGGAAATGGTCAGCTCTAAGGAATGTGGGAAAGAGATTAGAAAGATAGTAGGGGTGGGGTGGGGCGGGGTGGTTCAGGGAAAGCTCCTCTTTGCAGAACAATTCAGGTAGCAGATAGAGGAGGAGTCTATAGGATTAGAAAAATCACGTGCAACCACCAGCAATATAAGTGACTCAAACAAGGGGCACCAACAGAGGCAAAACCCACTGGGTAAAAGGTTGTAAGAGACAAGGTGGTCACAGTCCTGGAATACCCTTCCCACAGATTGCTTGTTAATTATAAAGGTGAGAAGGACTCTGTCACGTAGAGGCTGGTGGACACCACCGGATCCAAGTGATCAAGGTTCACGTCATTAGGTGATAAGGCAGCACCGTGCGCCTGCGGGTACCGTGCAATGAGGAGGACATAACAGGACACAACGTCACTTCTGAAATCCCAGCCTGAATCTAATCTGGAGGAAACATCAGACTGGGAGATTCCAGCAGACAACTGGCCCAGCCTCTTGAACAATGACGGTGGGGAAACACGCAAACAAGGGAAGGGCAATGCGCCAGATGGAAAAGCAGACGCAATGGAAAACACGGTGTATGATCCCCATCGGGGTCTGGATTTGCCTCTGCCTCCTTGCCACTCCCCGCCTCCCCAAACCCCAACTATAAAAGATATATTTGGTGAGAATATAAAATGATGAGAATGTAAAATGATGCAGCAGATGGTATAGCAGTTCCTAAAAAAAAAAATTAAACATAGAATTACCATGTGATCCAGCATTTCACTCTGGGTTTGTACACAAAAGAATTGAAAGTAGGGTCTCAAAAAATACTTATTTGTATACCCGTGTTCACGGCAACATTATTTACAAGAACCAAAAGATGAAAACAACTTAAATTTCTATCTGGTTGAATAGGTAAACACAATGTGGTCCCCATCTACCCACTGGAATATTATTCAGTATTAAAAGGAAGGAAAATCTGTTTCATGCCACAACATGGATGAGCCTTGAGGACGTTACACTCGGTGAAGTAAGCCAGACACAGAAGGACAGATGCAGTGCAATGCCACTTATAGGAGGCCCCTGGAGGAGTCAGAGCTGTAGAGACAGGAAGTAGATGGTGGGCGCCAGGGGCTGGGGGAGGGGATTCGGGGGTTAGTGTTTCATGGGGTCAGAGTTTCAGCTTGGGAAGGTGAGAAAGCTCTAGAGATGGATGGTGACGGTGGTTGCACGTGAAAGTGCTTACTGCCACTGAACGGTGCACTTAGAAATGGTTGGGATGGTGAATTTCACGTTTTGTATATTTTATTAGAGTAATAAAGATATGTGGGATGTGGGGCGATGGGAAACTGGAGCATGGAGCACGTGTGTGGGAAGGCTCTGCAGCCTCTGTGGAGAGCCCTGAGAGCGATGATGGTACTGGCTGTGGTTTTCTAGGAGAAGCTTCTGATTCTTAGCATATGGGGTGGAGCACAAAGCGTAGCGATGAAATGCTGAGATGCTGCGTCTTTCCTCAAAGCAGTTTGGGGGAGAGAAGAAGAGGAGAAGAGCAGAAATGGTCAATACCAACCCTCGGAGAATTGAGGGGCACTGTTGTGTCACTCCACTCCTTTTCACAGGATTGGAATTTTTCCAAATAGAAAGCCGAAGACAATAAAAGAAGACAAGGACAGTGAGGTGAATACTATTGTCCTCTCCATTTTACAGAAGGGAAAACTGAAGCCCAGAGAGAAATCACTTGCCCTAACGCAGAAGTAAGTAGGGATGTTACAGTGAGGTGAAACAACCCAGAAGGAATCCGAGGCCGCCTCTTTGTTCAGAAGTGCCCCCCTCCAGCCTGACAACACCCCGCTTGTGAGGGGCACTCACCAGCTGACTTGTGATCTGCTCCTGGCATGCCCGAAGTGCTACTTCCCAGCACTCAAGATGAGCAGAGCCCTGAAAGCTGCGGTTATGCAGTTGACCCTTGAACAATGCAATTTGAACTCTAGGATCCACTTACATGCACATTTTTTCAGGTGACCCACACAGTCCAAATCCATGTTGTTCAAGGGGCAACTGTATTTCATTCTACAGACACTTGTGGGCTGGGGTGGGGCTGGAGCCCTGTGGTTCCCCCTACCTCAATTTCCCCCAGGTATTGAGCAGAGCTAGATACAGGTCTTTGCACTGCAAGCAGACAAGACTAGGTGCAGGAAGGGAGATTAGCATTGGCTCTGCAGCTTTAAAGAATGTAGCCCTTCTGAACCCAGGGATGTGGGGATGGCCCAGGCTTGGCCTCTAGAGCCTTGAAGACGCTCAGGCTGGGGCCAAGGACATTAGGGCAAGCAAGACCATCCCCATGTCTTCCCTCCCCGCCCCCCCCAAAAGCTTTTTTTGGTGAGTTTCTGGTAAGTGGGACATCCAGATGATGCCACCCCAAGGGTGGATTCTTTTGTCCTTTGCAAAGGGAAGATCACATATCCAAGCCAGCAGGTACATCCCCACCCTGGCCCAACAGTAACCCCTCCAGGGAGCCAGGAGCCCCCTCCAACTGGCTCTTTTGGAGATGCCCTAAGAATGTGGTTATAAGTGAAGGGATCTCTCCCTAGAGCCCCCCAAAGTTAAAAATAAATAATTAAATCTGCATTCTGTTCACTCTGCCTCCTCCTCACCAAATTTTTTTACTTAAAACAGTGGCTCAGCCCTGGCTGGGTAGCACAGCTGTTATAGCATTATCTCAATACACCAAGGTTGTGGGTTCCATCCCTAGTCAGGGCACATACAAGAAGCACCCAATGAATACATAAATAAGTAGAATAACAAATTGATGTTTCTCTCTCTCTCTCTTCCCCTTCCCCTGTCTCTAAAATCAATAAACAAAAATAAAAAAAATTAAGCCCTGGCTGGTGTGGCTCAGTGGATTGAGTACCAGCCTGCGAACCAAAGGGTCGCCAGTTCAATTCCCAGTCAAGGCATATACCTGGGCTGTGAGTCGGGTCCCCAATAGGGGGCGTGTGAGAGGCAATCACACATTGATGTTTCTCTTCCTCTTTGTTCCCCTCCCTTCCCTTCTCTAAAAATAAATAAAATCTTTAAAAAAATACAAAAAATTAAAGTAGCCTTTTCCTCTTCTCGGAACAGTGCCATTAGGCATTCACAGTGGTCCGGCGTTTGACAGACCGTCAGAGGCTGTCCTACAGTACAACCTCTAACAAAACTAGTCTGTCCCGAACCCCTGGCAATGGGATTGTTTACCTTTATACCAAAAAGGTTGGGAAAGCACCAAGATCTGCATGTGGTGTATGCCCAGGCCGACTTCTCGGAGTTCATGCTGTGAGACCTGAAGTTCTGGTGGGTTGTCTAAAACGAAAAACGACGTCAGCAGGGCCCGTGGCGTGCCCTGGCATGCCCTGGCGTGTGCCAGTGTGTCTGTGACAGGAGCAACTGCATTCTCCTTACTGAGGGGGTGGAAAAAGTGTTGTCACAGTGTTGGAGGCACAAGCACAGAGTCGGGAAGCTAAATGAAAAAAAAAATGAAGCTATTTGACTAATAAAAATAATTAAAAGGCACCCTGGCTGGCATAGCTCAGTGGATTGAGCACGGGCCGTGAACCAAAGTGTCGCAGGTTCAATTCCCAGTCAGGGCTCATGCCTGGGTTGCAGGCCGTGGCCCCCAGCAACTGCACATTTATGTTTCTCTCTCTCTTTCTCACTCCCTTCCCTCTCTAAAAATAAGTAAATAAAATCTTAAAAAAATAATTAAAAGGCTTAAGATTTTTTTTTTTTTTTAATTAAAAAGTTGAAACAGTTGCATAGCTGGAGCTACCCACCTCCTCTTCTGGAATCTTCCGGAATGCTAGGGTGGGGGCAGCTGCTACCATTCAAGTCTGCATGCCTCCTGTCTGAGTCATGGGTGAGGCAGGTACACGTATTTTGCAGCCTTTTGCTGGGAGAAGTATTTTGGGATCGTTAGCCCGGAAAAACGCACTCCGATCCATTCCTCCACTCCTACCCACGCAGGGCCTTGCAGGCCGAGGCACAGTGCTGTGAGGACCCAATGGAGATTTTTAAAAAATCCTCCCCTAAGGTTATGCTTTTATTGATTTTAGAGAGAGAGGAAGGGAGAGAGAGAAAAATAACAACGTGAGAAATATTAATTGGTTGCCTCTCGAACATGGCCCGACTGGGAATTAAACCTGCGGTCTTTTGATGTACGGGAGGAAGCTCCAACCAGCTGAGCCACGCAGCCAGGGCTGATGGAGGTTTTCAGTCAAGGCGTGAAGTGGCCTGATTTGTATGGCGAGTCTTTTAGTTGCTTGGGGAATAGGATTGCCAGGTAAAATCTAGGCTGCCCATTTAAAGTGGGATATCAGATAAACAATGAAATATTTTAAGCATACATATATCTCTAAAATAGTGTGGGCCATACTTAACAATAAGAAAAATTTATTGTCTCTTTGAAATTCAAATTTAAGCGGGTATCCTATATTTTTATTTGCAGGGAGGGGGACAAGGTCAGGATCCAGGAGACCCAGGTGCAACTGACTGTACTGGCCCAGGTGAACAATGATGATGGATGGATGGAAGCCAAGGGGAGGCAGAGTAGTGGAGAGAAATAGCAGGATTCTGGGTAGATTTAGGAGAAGGAGCCCCTATGTCTTGCCGATGGACTGGACGTGGCAGGTATGTATGCCTTTTGCTGGGAGGACTTCAGTTTTACCCTGAGCGAGGCTGGGGGAGCCCTGGAGCCCCAGGAGGGCTGTGAGTAGAGGAGGTCGCTGGAGCTGACCTGGGTGAGAGGCCTGCAGGTGCAGTCCTGGAACTCAACAACCACCTGCTCCCGTGAATTGCTCCAGCCCAGGGTCTCCGCCTCAGCGCTGCTGACATTTGAGTGTGGGTCAGTCTCTGAGTTGGGGCCTTCCTGGATGCTATGAGGTGTTGAGCAGTATCCCTGAACTTCCAGGGGCACCTCCTCCCCCAGGTCACCATCCAGTGTCCCCTGGTGGACAGAACCACCCTTGGTCTGGGCACTGAAAGACCCCAGTGAAGAGATGAGTCTGGATGGTCAAATGGCCGGGCTTGGGGAGGTTAGGCAACGTGCTCCCCACACCCTGGCTCCTGTGCCAGCCACCTGTGCCAGATGAGGAAAGGGCTGCTGGTAGAGTGATATAGCTTTTAATATTTAAAAGTTTGGGCACTTAATTCTGGCAATCCTCGCTCATGGATAACACTGACCCCTCCTGTAGCTGGTAGCTGTCTGAGTCCAAGGGGTTCCTGGTGATGATGATGGGAATCTTGGCTTTCACGCTGGTCAGGGACCAGGGCAGGTGGATGGTGCTGACCAGCTCGTATTGGGTGCTCATGATCTCGCCTTCCCGCATGTCGCTGCTCACGGACAGCACCAGCGGGAGGTTGAGGGTGCTGACGATCTTGGTGGTGTTGAAGGGTGTAATTTGGGTGTTGACCTCCTGCCGGAGCAGCTCACTGCTCTCCACCCGTAACCGCCGCTCTGCCTTGGGTGTGAAGCCCACGTACCGCACGTGGGCGTAGAGGGCAAAGACGACCGTCTTGATGTACTTGCCCGTCTGGTTGTTGATCTCCGTGGTGAAGACGACCCTCTCCCCTGGCACGAAGGTGTCCTTTTCCATTTGGATCTGCAGGCAGATGGTGCCCTGGCTGCAGCAATTGTAGGAGACCTTCTTCTCAGTCTCCACAAACAGGGGATTCTGGAAGGGGTGGGGTTGGGGGGAACGAACGGACAGCTGTGAGGGGCCATGGCCACAAGATCCACACACCTGCCTAACATCCCACTATTTTAGCTGCTCCAAGCCATGAGCCTTTTGGGACTCTCCTAGTAAGGGGCATGGAGATGGAACGTGGAATCTTGGAGATTCTGTAGCCAAAACCCTGGAGTCATCTTCCAGCTTCCTTTAATCAAAGTCCTCTTGCCATTCTGAGTATCAATTTTCTCATGTATAAAATAGGGCTAAGAAATCCACAAGAACCTAGCTTAATCCCCAGCTCCGTTACTCACTTGCTGTGTGACCTTGAACAAGTGGCTTGACTTTTCTGAGCCTTAATCTTACAGTCTAAGCCCAAGACTTGGGTTTATCTAAATTGTTCAGATTTAAGAAGGAAATATCACAGACTGTATCATGAAAGGGAACCCGTGGAGTTGAAGTTATGCAACATGTTAAAATAAATGCCTCAAAATACAGCCCATATATCAACTGGTCAGCTGCTGGATTAGAAATAAAGTCACCTATATATTATGTTTAATGTGTGTCTTGGGTAACATTTTATTTTTGATTTGTGGATAAAGATTTCATGTAATGTGGGAAGGGTTAGAATGAACGTGCATGCTTATTCCCCTTAAGCATGAGAGAGAAAGAGCCTCCACCTTCCCATTAGTGACATGAGGTTGGTAACCTGAAAATGACCATGATGGGAATATATACACCATGGACATTGGCAAACATTACACATTAGGGCTGTCCTGTTAACCCCATGTTCTTGCTTTGTCAGCAGGCAGGACATCTCCCAACTTGCTTCAGAGCACTGTTCACTTAAAAAATAAAACATTGGTATTGCACACACACACAACTGAGTGTACTTAACACTACTGAACTACACATTTACAAATGGTTAAGATGCCCTGTTTGGGTAGCTCAGTTGGTTAGAGCATCATCCTGATATGCCAAGGTTTTGGAGTTTTTAAAAAAAGATTTTATTTATTTGTTTTTAGATAGGGTACGGCATGGAGAAAGAGAGGGAAAGAAACATCAATGTGTGGTTGCCTCTCACATTCCCTACTGGGAATGTGGCATGAAACCCAGGCATGTGCCCTAGACTGGGAATTGAACCACCAACCCTTTGTTCACAGGTTGACATTCAATTCACTGAGCCACACCAACCAGGGCAAGGTTGTGGGTTTGATCCTTGTCAGGGCACATACAAGAATCAACTAATAAATGCGTAAATAAGTGGAGCAACAAATTGATGTTTCTCTGTCTCTCTTTCCCTCTCTCTAAAAACAAACAAACAAACAACCCCCCCCCAAAAAAAAAACCCTACAAACCAATGGTTAAGGTGGTTAATGGTCATGTTTTGTAAAAAATACGTAACAGCCCTGGCTGGTATAGCTCAGTGGATTGAACTCAGGCTGCAAACCAAAGGGTCTTTGGTTCGATTCCCAGTCAGGGCACATGCCTGGGTTGCAGGCCAGGTGCCCAGTGGGGGACATACCTGAGAGGCAACCACACATTGATGTTTCTCTCCCTCTCTTTCTCCTTCCCTTCCCCTCTCTCTAAAAATAAATTAATAAAATCTTAAATAAAAACAACTGAGATACAGAAAAACCCACAAAGCCATAAGGCCAGCCCTCTTGTAATAGCCACCCAAGTCAAGCAATAGAACTTTGCCAGCTTCCCCCAAAGTCCCTCATATGTGCCCAGCCACCCACTTAGCCCCCCAAATGCAACTATCCTGAATGTTATAGTAATCACTGTCTTGTATCTGCACAGGTTTATGTGTAGGGACCTACACAAGATATGTTGTTTTAGAAAAAAAAGCATGTAAATGATAGTATAAAAATTTAAAATATATCTTTCAGGTTTGAGAAATGAAATATTACCAGTTAGACTGAAATCGCGGGGGTTCTATCAGCTTTGCCCTGCTGCCCCTGTCCTCTGCACAGGCAGCCACGGTCTGAATCTGGCCTTCTACATTTTTATTTAGGAATACACCTATTTTCAGAAGTATATGTTATTGTTTTACATATTTTTTCTTAATATTTTGTTTATTTCTACAGAGGGGAAAGGAGGGAGAAAGAGAGGGAGAGAAACATCAATTTGTAGTTGCCTCTCACATGGCCCCATACGGGGGACCTGGCCTACACCCCAGGCATGTGGCCCCTGACTGGGAATTGAACCTTCGACCCTTTGGTTCACAGTCCACGCTCAATCCACTGAGCTACACTCGCCAGGGCCTTGTTTTACATATTTTGCTATTTCATATAATTCGAGCTGCATATGTCTCCCAGCAACTTGCTTTTTTCCAGCTCAATACTCTGTCTGGAATGCATTCATGTTGGTGCCTGTAATTCTTGTTCATTTGTTTTCATGAATGCAGCTGAGTGTTTTGCAAAATAGTTTATCCACTCCCCCATGATAGACATTTATATTGTTTCCATGTGTTCAACATCATAAAAGTGCTAGAAGGAGCAGACTGAAGACAATTTTCTTGAGCTTACACCCACGAGCATCTCTAGGGCATGAGTTGGCAAGCTTTTTCTGTAAAGGGACTGATAATAATCATAGTTTAGGCTTTTCAGGCCACATACAGTATTTGGCATATACTATTCCTTTACTTTGTTTTATTTTATGAATTTTAGAGGGAGGAAGGGGGAGAGAGAGAGAAACATTGCTTTGTTGTTCCACTTACTTATGCATTCATTGCTTGCTTCTTGTGTGTGCCCTAGTGGGGGATTGAACCTGCAACCTTGGCATATCAGGACGAGGCTCCAACCAACTAAGGTACCCAGCTAGGGCTCCTTTTTTAAAAAAAACCAGAACTCACAGTTAAAACATAGATTTTAACATTGTGGCAAAGAATACAAATCTGTATGTACACCTCACCTAGATTGGTGAAAAAGAAGCAAGTTTTATGAAATTTTGTTTATCCTTATTATATTTCCTGTTCTACTCTGTGTATTCTATTCGTTTAAAAAATGTTGGTTGCAACCCTATACATTTATTTTTATTTTTAGTCTACTTACCTTATTTTATTATTTCATATAAAACAAAAATTTTAGCCCTGGCTGGTGTACCTCAATGGATTGAGCACTGGCCTACAAACCAGAAGGTTGCCGGTTCGATTCCCAGTCAGGGCACATGCCTGGGTTGCGGGCCAAGTTTCTAGTTGGGGGCATGTGAGAGCCACTGCTCAATGTTTCTGTCCCTCTCTTCTTCCCTCCCTTACTCTTTCTCTAAAAATAAATAAAATCTCTAAAAAAATTTTTTTAAGATTTTATTTATTTATTTTCTTTTTAGAAAGGGAAAGGAGAGAGAAAGAGAGAGAGAGAAGCATCAATGTGCAGTTGCTGGGGGCTATGGCCTGCAATCTAGGCATGTGCCCTGACTGGGAATCAAACCTGCAATGCCTGGTTCGCAGCCTGCACTCAATCCACTGAGCTACGCCAGCCAGGGCCCAAATCTCTAAAAATTTTTATAAAAATTAGCTGGTTGTAACCTACCAATTTTTTTCTTCTGGAAAATTCTATTCTTTCATTTAAAGTTGATTGCAACCCACCAAACTTTTTTTTTTGTGATATTCTCTTTTTCTTATTCATTTTAGAGAGAGAGAGAACCATCAATTTGTTGTTCCACTTAATTTATGCATTCATTGGTTGATTCTTATATGTGCCCTGACTAGGGATTGAACCTACAACTTTGTAGTATCGGTACTATACTCTAACCAACTGAGCAACCTGCCCAGGCTGATATTTTCTACTACATTTATATTATTATGTGTCCTTTTTTCACATGTATAAATATATATGTGAAATATATATATTTATACATGTGAAAAATATATATTTATGTATACATTTATATATAAATGTTTGTGACCCACTAAATTGATATTTTCTATTTTAGTCTTGGCTATTCTTTCATTTTACAGAAATATGCTTGCAACCTGCTAAATTGGTCTTTCAGCCCACTAATGGGTCATGATCTGAGGTTGAAAAACACTGTTTCAGGTCCTCTGTGTTTCTTCTTAGACACCTCGGGTGACCCTCACCCCTTCTGACCTCAGCCCCTGCCCTCTGCCCATGGCTCCTCTCTTTAGCCTTCCCATGCTTCCCTTTCTCTAGGAAGGCTTGTTGTAGGGAGTTTAGGTTATAAATCCTTCTACTCTTATTTGGAATTCTGTGGTGTGCTTTAGGGACCTGCAGGAATTAAGGAACTTGCTGCTCTAACTCAGGGCTAAGTCAGCAGTTCTGTCCTGGTCCTGGAGGAGGTACCAAGAGATACCAGCAGGGGGTCCAGGAGACCTCCACGCCTGACCAGGTGGGGCTGGCCCACGGGTCCTGACTCCTAGTCACATGTGCAATGCGAAGCCAACACTGGAGTTCCTGGACCTGAGAGTGTTTTGGAGCCCTGTGTTTCTTCAGCATATATGAGGCTTCTGGGAGATTCATTCATTCATCTGGTTTTTGCATCTGCTTTGTGCCAAGTTTAGGGAAAACCCATAGATAGCAGTGAAGACCTGCTCCGGGTGAGGAGATGGACACAAATGGTACGTGTGAGAACAAACTAGGCCATTTCTGGTGGGGACAGTGATGAGGCCGTGACCAGATGCAAATGGCAGGGTACAAGATAAAGGGAGCGGGGGCGGGGGACTCTGGTACAGATGATAGTTAGGAAGGGGCTCTGGGACAAGCTCCTCTCCCAAGTGGTATTTAATGTCGGAAGAGGAGATGATTGGAACCCTGCAATTAGTGGTGGGAAGGTAAAATGGGGCCTGGCTGTGGAAAACGGGCAGTTCCTCAAAAGGTGAAACAGAGTTACCACCTGACCCAGCCATTCCACTCCAGGAATCCACTCTAGGAAAGAAGTAGACTCACGCCCACACAACAACTTGCACAGAAACGTTTACAGCAACATGATTCATAATGACCAAGAAACAGAAGCAACTGAGGTGTCCAGCAGTGGATAAAGGGATACACAAAATGTGAACATTCGTGCATTGATTGGGCCTTAGAAAAGGAGTGAAGCGCTGACACTCCCTGGACCTCGAGCACGTGATGCTCAGTGAGAGGAGCCAGATGCAAAGGCTACAGAGTGTGTGATTCCTTTTCTGTGACATGTCCAGAACAGGCACATCCAGACAGAGAGTGGGGGCTGGAGCCAGGGCAATGGGAGGTTGGGGGTGACAGCTAAGGGATGCAAGATTTCTTTTGGGGGTGATGAAATGTTCTAAAACTGACTGTGGTGATGGTTGCGTAACTTTGTGTACGCTTTAAATGGGTGAATCATAAGGGATGTGAATTATATCTCAATGAAGCTGTTAAGAACAGAAAGTGGAAGGGGAAAAAGTTTCTTTGCTCTTAGCTCTCGGCTCCCCTGCCCCCTCACAGGAGGCAGCATCTGTTGCCAGTTGCTCTGCTCCCCTTCCAGAGATGTTAGTTACACCTGCAAGGAAGTAATTTGTTTTCACCACCAACGGTATAGGCTAGGCATGCTGTTCTGAACTTTGCTTCTTATTCATTCAACTCAGTCACTTGTCAGGAGATCCTGACAAGGACCACTGTCTCATTCTGTTTCTGTCTGTCTGTCTCTCTTGATTTACTACATCTGCAGGAATATCCAACCTTTTGGCATGTCTGGCCCACACATTAAATACACAAACACTAACGAAAACTGATGAGCAAAAAAAGGTTTTAAGTAAATTTACGATTTTGTGTTGGGCCACATTCATTGCCATCCTGGGGGCTGGGCACCCCTGCTAGAATTGGTTTTTGTTTTTTTTTTTGTTTTGTTTTTTTGTTTTTTTTGGACTGAGTGCTTCTACTAAACAATTCCCTTAACAACAAACATTACACTGTTTCCAGTTGTTCTATAAACAGTGCTGTGAGAAGTCAGGTCACACAGGTGAAAGAATATCAATAGGAGAAATTTCTAGAGGAGGAATGTGCATGTTCGTTTCAATATGGATAGATGTGGCTGACTCGCCCTGCATAGGGCTTGTGGCGGTTCATTCGACTACCAGCAATGCAGGTGAGTGAAGACATGGTTTCCAAGCAAAGATCCAAAGGATAGGAAAGTCACATCATAGTGTTCCAAGCAGAGGGACAGCTTGTACAAAGGCCCTGGGGCAGGACTGTACTTGGTGTGTTGGAGGAGTAGGGAGGAGGGCCGTGTGACTGGAGCAGAGTGATCGAGGGGGAGTGAGAGAGGAGGGTAGGGCACAGAGGGGATGGGAGAACTTGGGCTTTTACCCCAAGGAAGGTGGGATCCCTGTAGGGCTGTGGGCAGGAAGGAGAGGGTCATCACTTGACTTCCTCTGCTCTGAGAAGGGCAGACTGTTGGGGGTTGAAACTCTGCCTCTACTTGGACCAGAGCAGTAGCCTCTGCCCTGCTCTGCCAACTCCTGCTCTCACGCTGCCCCACACACTCTGTCCTGCCTCAGGACCTGGGCACCGTGTCCTCTGGCGGAAACACTACCCCCATGGCTTTCCCCTTCTCCTCTTTCAGTTCTCTACTAAATTGTCACCTCCTCCAAAGGCCTCCCTTGACCAGTCTGGTTAAAATAATACTGGGTAGTTAGAAAAAAACACAGTGTTCACATACTCTCCGAACTTCTCTGTGATAACTCCTGTTGCTGCTATGACAGCAATTTTAGCTCTCTCACTTCCTGGGCACCTCTTGTGTGTAAACATTGTACTGAGTGCTTAGCAGTCCTCACAGGCACCACTGAGGGAAGTATTGTGGCTGCTGTTGTTATTATTATTAATTATTCCCATTGTACAGATCAGGAAAATCTAGGCTCTGCAAGATACTGTTAACTGCCCAAGGCCATCTGGCTAATGAGAGTCTGGTGGCAGAGACATAAAGTGGGGTCTGACCCAACATCAGCATTTTGCCCCAGCTCTTGCCTGTGCCCCCTGCACTCCCAGACCAGCTGTGAAATGTGGCTTAGAGAAGGGTCATATCCTGCTCAAGGTCACACTGGGAGCAGGTGGCTAAGCGGTTCTTGAGTTCAATCCTGTTCATCCCAGGGATGACCCCCCCTTCCAAGCATCTACCTCTCCCGGCTCCCTCCCAGACCATCCTCTGAGGTTGGCTGGCCTAGAAATGATCCTGTTACTCAGATACTAGTACAGGTGGTGGCAGCAACAGTGAGACTCACTGCCCTGTGCCATGCACTCTGCAAAACCCTGGACCTGCATGAAGTCCACTCATTGTCTCTGTGCCCATTTTACAGACTAGTATTCAAAACACAGCAAGGCAAGGTCACTTCTAGAGGGTCACGCAGAAGGTAGGTGGGGGATCTGGGACTTTAATCTGGACCTCGGAAATAAAAACGCCAGCCCTCTCAGCCACCATTCTGACAGCAGATGAATCCCCAGGAAGGTGAAGTGACTGTGGCCAACGTTCCTCCACCCGCCCAACTGCCGCCTCTGCACCTGGGCCTCCAGAAGCCATCCAGAAGACCTCTGCTCTGGCTGCCTGATGCCACACGCCCTTCCTTCCCCTGGGATGGAGGCCACCTCCTTCCCTTGCTTCTTGGGGTGGGGGAGGGGGACACCATCTGCACTGTCTGAAGGCTCAAAGCCCGAGGAGAGTCACTGAGTGTCCAAGCCTCTCTTTCACCCAGGGGGTGATAAGGGGGCCTCAGCTCAATCTTGACTTACTGCAGGGCCACGGACATTGGGGCCTAATCGTTTCTGTGGGGGGCTACCCTGGGCACATAGGGTGATAAGCAGTATCTCTGGCCTACTCCCACCAATCCAGGAGTACACCCAGTTGTGACAATGGCAGATGTCTCTACACATTGGGGTGGGTGCAGAATCACCCTGGTTGAGTCCTGCTGGCTTAGTTCCTGCCCTGGTTTCTGATTAACATTTGTGAACTCACTGGGCACGGAGAGCCACCGACACCTTCCCTTCTTCCCTACCAGGGCCTTCTCTGTCCCTTGCCCACACACATGCCCCCTGCCTCCTTGGAGCTTTGAGAACAAGCCCCACCCTGCTCCTCCCCCATTACTACCTGTGGTGCGTTTTCTCTGTGGAAGTTCGAAGTCCCTTGAACCAACAAGTATGTTCTCTTCTTCGCTAGAATGTGCTCCCGGCCCATGCAGGAGGCTTGCAGGAAGTAGAAGACATGGCCAGTTTTGCTGGTGAAGGTAGAAGGAAGCCTGGGAGGTAAGTTGAAATGGAAATCAAAGGTGTGGCTGCCTGCACTTAACCAATTATCTGAAAGCAAAACACACCGATGCCATCAGAAGATTCTAGAAGGTTTTTAAAGTTTTTTTGTTTGTTTTTTTCATTTTGTCTTCCTCTTTATTGTTTTGGTGGGGAGGTTGTTCTGGACCTGGCTTGTCTGTCCCTGAGCTAGGCTGAGCTATGTGCTTTTAGGGACCTGAATGACCCATAAATGCTGGGCTTAGGCCTCAGCTAGGCTGGAAGGGGCTGACCCAGATGGGTGATGTGGCTGGCAGGGTCTCACTTCAAGACACTGGGACTTGCTCGGTTCTTCCTTGGGCCTGAAAAACCAGTCCTCAGGAGTCGGTCACACATTCATACAACAAACACATCTTGAGCCCCGCTGTCCACCAGAGGCTCCTCTAGGCGGCATCTGCACCAGCGAGCGAGGTGGCCAAACGTTGCCCTTATGGAGCTCAGGCTTCAGTGCACTGTAAGCGCGGCATTCAGCGTGCTTAACATTTGTTGGTTGAGTGGTGACTGAGGACCAGGGAGAACTCACACTGCCTCCATTTCTGTGACCTTGTTTTTTTGTGCATTTCTTCAAAACCCCCTTATGATTGTGTTTTTCCCCACCCAGTGACAGCAGGGGCCATGTCCGTTTTCTTCACTGCTGTATCCCCAGCACCTGGCACAGTGTTGTGTGCAGCAGGTGCTCAATAAATGCTTGTGAAATAAATGAATGAACCTATGACAGGCTCGAGGCTAATGCTTTTGAGGGGAGATACAGTCCCTTGGAAATGGGGAAGGAGGGGTTCCTAATGCTGGGGTAGTAATGGGTAGGGAAGGGTTTCGTTGAACAAACTACACTTACCAAGCACTTACTGTATGCCCTGCATTACCTAAACCCTTTACATGCCATTAAATCATTAAGTCCCCAAAGAAATCTTATCAGGCAGCACTTATTTCCATTCTCCAGATGGCTTAACTGGGACAAGAGAGGCCACATCTTGCATCTTGCTGTTCCTCCCCCAGACGTCTGCATGGCCAGGTTCCCATCTGTCACTCATATCTGAGCTCTGTTGCTCTTTGGAGAGATACCTATGACCAGTGACTTGCATCTTGTTATTTTCGTGTTATGTGTATCTGATGCTCACTGTTATACACGGACTCCGTCCTAGGGAGGAACTGCATCTTTCCCCATTTCTGATGTTCCTGGGGTTTGCTGACCAGGTAACAGACATGTTCACCTTCCAGACCCAGGTTCCCATTTGGTTGGGGTTGGCTGCCGGCTTGTCCTTACCTGTCACTGAGAACGTCTTTGTTTTGTGCACATAGTCAGCCTTGTTGTTGCAAATAATGTCTCTGCTGTAATCACGGGATGCCCCAGTTTCTTCATTCCACTCCACGTAACCCCTTCCCACGAGCTCCACCTTCACAATGGGGTCCACCAGGGTGCTGTTCAGGGTTAGAACTACCTGCCCTTTTATGCAGGAGCCGGCCAGGTAGACCGCATCCTGGGGCAGCACTATTTCGATCAACTTCACCACAGACATGGAGGGTTAGGCGAGTGGAGAAACATCCTCCCCCCTTCTCCATGCCACTGAGATGCTGGGTTCCTTGGCCGCAGCGAGGTCACTGTCTGTGACATCATCCAGCCAGGGTTCTGGGAAGGGGTTCCCACTGGCCAGGAGGAGGAGAGGCGAGGAGTGGGCAGTGGCTTGGGAATCCCAAAGTCCTCACTGTTTTGAGAAATGGTAGCCTGATCACCTTTTCCTAGAAAACAACAAGCAAACAAACAAAAACAACTATAAGATGCCAACATTCCCGCTACACAGGGGACACCTGTCATCATGCCAGGGGTTAGGAGCCTCGTGTGGGAAGAATTCATCCAACCACTCTGCTGAGGTAGGTGCTACGAGCCCCAGGTACGGCTGGAGAGGCACGGTGAATGAGCCCAGAGATATTTTCTGCTGCATGAGATGGCCCCCAAACGTGGTATGTGTGCCTCTCAGGATTCACACTGTTTTAGGTCATACATAATCATTTTCATTTTAATGGTTCTGTGTTAAAAGAAAAATTAAATGTGACATGAAATCGAACGTGAACTGAACGAAGCCCCTCAGGGCACTATGTGGCCACCTCACATGGACACCACCATGAAGAGTCATCCTGCACACCTGGCATTTCTCCTTCTGCCTGGTTTGGTTCTCCTCATTGGGTGGGAAGTGCCCTCAGATAGGGACTTTGTCCCAGCAAGCTTTGTGTCCGCCAATGTCTGCTGGACCCAGGACCTGATTCAGACAAGGGCGGGGGGCGGGGATCAATAAAAGTTTGTTGAAGGTCTTCCTGACCTTCAAGAGCGTATCATTTTGCCAAAGGGAAACCACTGCTTATTCCTAGTGCCTGATTGGCTTGTGGGCTGGTGCTAAGTGGGAGAGAGACACGAAAACAAAAGAGGCACTAGGAAGGGTCCATTCTCCAGACTCGGGCAGGCCTCCTTCGTTGTTTTTGCTGTATCTTGTTTTGAATTTATGTGATGTCTTTTGTGGACACCAACATCTTGTCTCCCTAAAGGTTTTGTAAGCATCTTTCAGAGATGCTTGGCATAGTCTCTCATTCATGTTTGTCAGCTAACCCAAGGAATCCCTCCGACTGTCTTAAATGACTAGAGAAATGGGGCCCTGTGTCACTAGTCCTTGTGGGCTTGTCTGCAGGGACAGCCAGGCACCTAGTTCTGGGTCACTTACCTTCAGATATCCAAGGAGCCTGGGCTGTGCCCTGCCCCAAATGTATATGAATAATGTGTTACTCCTTTGGGCCATGCTGAGTTTTTGCAACAGCAGGCAAAGCGGATGATACATTCTCAGCAGGGATAGGCCAGGTTCCTGCTGCAGGTGTTCTCCATCTGGAAGGTGTTACTTGCTTCACAGGCCCCAGTAGGCCTGCTTCATACTTGCTCATACCTGTGACGTGGTCTACATGTGGCCGATGGCTGGGCGCTGAGAAGTCCAGACGGAGTCCTGCAGTTGGAGAAAGTGAGCAGCATCTGGACTTTGTATATCGGAATATATTAGTTTCCTATGGCTGCTATAACAAATTACCACAAATTTAGTGGCTTAAAACAACACAATTGAATTCTCTTAGAGCTCTGGAGTTCAGAAGTCTAAAATGGGTTTTAAGGGGCTAAAACCAAGGTGTTGACAGGACTGTGTTCTAAGGGAATAGGACAGAATTTGTCCCTTGCCTTTTTTAGCTTCTAGAAGCTTCCCTTCTTCCCTGCCTCTTGGTCTCATCATTCCAACCCCTACTTCTGTTGTCACATCTTCTTTGACTCTGGCCTGCCCACCTCCCTCTTTCACTAATCAGGACCCTCATGACGACACTGGGCCAGCCCAGGTAATTTAGGATATCTCTCAATCTCAAGAGCTTTAATTTAATCCCACCTGCAAAGTCCCTTTTGCCATAGAAGGCACCCTTTTCATAGGGATTAGGATATGGACCTCTTTGGGGGAGGCCTGATTCTGTCCATGCTGGGGAAATCAAAGAAGTACCAGTGCCAGGATGAAATGGACTCCACAGTGTCAGAGAAACCTTGTAAAAACATAAATGGGAATTCATCACTTTTCTACTCACAGCCCTCCCATCTTACTTGCTGTTCCCAAGAGAAAGACCAAAGTCCTCTTGGCGGCCTGTGAGGTCTTATCTGACACCCCTCTGACCTCACCCCTCTCCACCTCCCATCTGCTGTGTCTGTCCAGCTACATTGGCCTCCTTGCTGCTCTCCCTATAACTCTCAGACTCTTACTGCCTCTAAGCTTGCCCTCCCTTCCTGGACCCATCTGTCCTTGGTTTCTCCTGTCAGATCTCAGCTCAAATGTCATCTTCCCAGAGACGCCCACCTCTTCACCTCAACCTGAATGTCCTCTCTCCACCCCCACAAGGCCACTGGTCACCCTCTAGTTATTGTATGTAGTGTCTGAAATTATCTGCTTCATTTATTCATTTCTTGCCTGTTTCCCCAGATAAGAATTTACTCTCCCAGAGACCACCCACAGGGTCAGCCTTGCCCACTGCTGGACCCCCAACTCTGAGCTCCCTGTCCAGCTGCTTTGTAGGTGCCGGGCATGGGTGCCTGCCAAGACTGGCCAGAGCAGAACAGTCAGGGCAGAGGGGGCAGGGCAGCCCTTCCCGCCTGGACAGCGGGGAAAAGGCGGGAAAATGAGGCGGGGAAAACCCAGCAAACAAGTCCCGTGGGTGGGTAGAGTGGGAGTGATGGCGGGCCCTGACACTAGGAAGTGGGGCTGAGGCAGACCAGGCCGGTCATCGGAGTGCAGGCAGTCCGAAGGCCCTCCACATTCTCCTGCAGTATTTAGACATTGATTCTGGCCCTCCTTGCCCTACTAGTCAGTCAGTGCGTGCCCGGGCTGGAGGTGGGGGACGGGTGGTGCAGGAAACGACCTAGTAGGTTTGGGGGTCTCTACTTTGGGTGTCCGTGGGGCACCAGAGGGCACGCATGGTGGGGGACCCAGGTCCACCACTGGGCCCCGTTGTACACTGGGCGCACCCAGCAGAGCGCACAGGGTTGGGCGGGACTGTGGCTCGCTGGGGAAAGAAGGGGGGGGGATTGAGGGGGGGCGCCCCCCACCCCCTTTCTTGCTTCGCGCCACTGCGGCGGCCAATCACCACGCAGGCGCCCGCCCCCGGCGTGGCCTCCCGCGGTCCCACAACTCCCAAACGCCGAGTTTTCGCGGGAAATAAATTAGAGCAGCTGGCAGCGCGGCGGGCAGTGTTGGCAGGCTGGGCGCTCCGAGTTTCACGCACGTCCGCACGGGGTCCGGGCCACGCACGCTGCTCCATCATCATCGTCAGGCGGGCCAGGAGCGCAGGCAGGCGAGTGGTCGGGGCGGCCAGAGAAGTGAGAGGCTGGGAGGGCCGGGTGCCAGCCCGGGTCGGGGGTGGAGTGGGGAACTCGGACGCTGGACGCTGAGACTTTGCAAAACTTTCCGGAGCGGCCAAAGACGCACGGCCAGCACCGGTGCCCGCATGCTCCCCGCCGTGACTACCCAGCACGTGTTCTCCGGCTCTACCCCAGCCCCACCGGAGCTGGGGCTGCCCTCGGAATTCTGGACTTGGGCAGGGCCGAGCGGAACATCACTGGAGCCCCGCGGGGGTCGCGCCGGCTGGGTGGGGGAGGGTTGGGAGAACTGTTAAGGAGGATGTCAGCCTCCGCGCCTGCGCGCGGGGCGCCCCGCGATTCAATTGTCGCGCCCGAGCCCGATTTCGCGCGCCCTTAGTTCCCCGGGCATAACTGGGCCAATAGGGAGTGAGCGGGGCGTGGCAACTTGGTGCGGCAGAGCCAATGAGCGAGGTGTATCAAGTGAAGGGGGCGGAACCTAGTGTGAGGGGCCCCGCAGTCGGTCCCGGCGGTGGGGGTGGGCGTGGGCGTGGGTTCTCTGGAGTGGCCCACGCAGGCGGGAGGGAAGATAAGAGGGGCTTGGAGGACTTGAGTCGGACTCCGGGGAACAAGAGTCGGCACGTGGGGTCGTTGTGGGGCCGAGGTGAGTCCCGTAGCGCAGGGGTGGCCGGAACGGGGCTGCCGGTTACCATGGCCACCGCGGGGCTGGTCGCGTTGAGCACGCGCGGGGGTGGGTTTGGGGGCCGAGGGCACCGAGGGTCGGGGGCTTACGTGTCTCCGGTGGGGTTCTTCCCTTTTGATTGCACTTAGTTGAGTTCCCAGGACTTCTGAAGTTCCGACCTACGCCGGAGTTTTGGGTTTCTCTCTTGTGTCAGTATTAATTCAGTGAAAGAAAGAATGAATGAATGAGTGAATGAATGAAAAAAACTCTACCGCTCATCGTTTGGCTGTGTCCTTCCTCCTATGGATGTTGGTGTCTTTTTCCTCTGAAGTAGGGTGTGTGTGTGGGTTGGACTGAGTGGTCCAAGGTGCGATTTGTCTTCTTCTAATTTCCCCTTCCTCCTAAATCCTACACTGGTGTTAGTCATTTATGCATTAACTCCCTAATTTTACTCTGCCAGGCCATCGGCCAGCTCTGGCTGTCTGTGAGGAGTAGGGAACTGGGAAGGCGTTCAGGGAGTTTCCTGGTGTCCACAGACTGGACAAAGCAAGGGTGACCCAAGTATGGCATGGCCTGGTCGTGGCAGCGTCAGAACTTGCTGAGGGATCCACTCTCTGCTCTCTCAGCACCAGCAGGCACCATGTGGATCCAGGTTCGCACCATGGATGGGAAGGTGGCCCACACTGTGGACTCGCTCTCCAGGCTGACCAAAGTGGAAATGTTGAGGAAGAAGATCCAGGAGCTGTTCCACGTGGAGCCAGGCCTGCAGAGGCTTTTCTACAGGGGCAAGCAGGTAAACCCGCCCATCAGGCTGCTCAGCACCCTGCACCTTTGTTCTTGTCTCATCCAGGCTTTGCTCCTCAGCGGCCACCAGCTCATACAGTCTCCCCCCTCATCCGGTCCCGCTTCGTGTCTCCACAGAAAACTCAAATGCCTGAGCCAGGAACAAAGGCTTGACTCACAGATTGAGACGCTGGGCAGGCAGCTGGCACTCAAGTCTGTAG